GTTGAAAAGAAAAAGAAATGAATTATGCAGTAGCAGTATATCATTGTTTTTAAACTAGCCGTGTACCTTTTTCTAAGCTAGCACTCTATCTATTTTCTAAGCTAGCATTGTCTCTCTTTTTCTAAGCATAGCAATGTAGTTTAAAAAAAAGAAAAAGAAATATAGCAGTAGAATGAAGTTTCAATTTAGTAGCAGTAAACTAGCAATATGGAAATTGATTTAAGTTTGTAAACTATGCTAGTAGTATAGTGCTTAGACGAAGTTTAGAATGTATGCATAGTAGTCAATTGTTAAAAACTAAAGTAAAGTTATGCAGGAAATAACATAGTAGCAGTATGCAGTATAGAATCAAACATGATAGCAGTACAAGTAAATGAAATGAAGTTCTAGAAATCAAACTATAGTTATTAAGTTTAGTTTATAAACAAAAAAAAATGCAGTATGAAAGATAAGTTTAGGAAAATAAATAAATTAATTTATATTTTGTTTTTATTTTCTTAATTTAATATATAAAATATTTATATTAATTAAATACAAATATGACATAAGTTAGTCGATTTAATTTGGAACCCGATTATGTTCTGATTTCTCGATTTCGGCAATTTCGGCGACGGAGCAAGTTACTCCGAATTTAACGAGAATTGACGTGCTAGCATAATCCGACGTGTAGATTAACGTAGTGAAGTTCGTTTTGCGAAATTTCGACTTTTTAAGAATCGACCCGATTTTAGTACGAATGAAATAAGTTGAGTTTAATCCCGAATTTAACCGTTCGAGTTACATTCCGGTGACTCGATCGCGATGAGAAACATTGAGAGTAATGCAGGTTCATTGATAATGACTTTATGTTGAAATATACTTTCCGATTTGGAATTGTTGATAGTTGATGGTTTATGTTTTGGTTGAGTAAGTAACTTGTTTGTATACATTTTACTTGACGTTGAGATTTTTAAATTATATGTATGCATGCATGTACAATAGTTGATGTTCCATTGGTTGGATTTGATGGTATGTGTATGTTACGATTATTGTGAATCTTAATTGCATGAATTGGTTATATTGTACATTGCATGGCATGGTTGGTCTTGAAACAGAGACGGTGAAACTGTGGGTTCACATGATTTTATAGACGGTGACCCTATTGTGGGAAAAGACGTAGTGACCTTGATTCGGAAGGGAAATATAGGTGGTGGAACATTGGGTCCACAATATCTAGACGATGACCCTATTGTGGGAAAAGACGTAGTGACCTTGATCCGGAAGGGAAACATAGGTGGTGGAACCTTGGGTCCAAGAGTCGGTACCGCATTCGCATATGTTGAGTCGTGTTGTGAGTCACATGTATATTTGTGCATGTTATGTATGTGTGTTGATGTGTTTGATTATGTGCCAATATTGTTGTTGTTTGAATTATGGTTATGTGCCAAGGATGTGAGTATTCGGATAATCGGTTTACATGGTTAATGTGTTGGAAATGGATTCCTTGAGTAAGGATACTACAGGTGATAAAATGAACATGATCATTATGTATTGCTTTATTTATTGCCATTTCATTTACTTAAAATTACATGTTATATGATTATTGGAATTCTCACCCTTTTGTTGGCCAATGCTTTTGATGGCATTGTGTAGGTACCGAGGACGGTAGCGCGAGGTGCTAGCTAACGGATGCATTAGATTGCAATCTGTTTTATTTTGATTAGAGTCGAGTCGATGCTCTGGTAGTAACACATGGGGGGGGGGGATTTATTTAGTGTCGAACTCGATTATTTTGTATTTGGATTATGATGTATATAATCCTTATTCGTGTATATGATGTTTTGTATATGTGAGACTTGATAACATATGCTTATGTGAATTATGATGGCTTGATGCCTTGAATTATGTTTTGATTCCTCCATAAATGGAGATGATGTGAAATTATGAAACTCCGTTGCGTTTGCACGAGAGAATGAAGTAAATATTTATTGTATGTTTGTTTTGTGTTGGAATGCTTATACTTTCAAACATACCCTGTCCGTTTTTCCATAAAGACTTTGGAATGTGATGTGTGTTGTGGCATCCCTTCCGTGCAATTTTATTTCTCTGATTTTAATCTTTACCTTTAATTGGGGTATTTAGAAGGGGTGTTACAATAGTGGTATCAGAGCATGTCGGTCTATCAGCCAGGTTGTTTATGTGTTTAATCCCTTTTGGTACGCGACATGTGTGTGAAACACTGTCGGTACTTGATTGTTTCCTTTTCGTTGTCTGCAGAGGTACGTGTGAAATAAGTGGGGGAGGATTTTCTTCTCTGAAGTTTTGTGCAAGAGGTTGGTTCAGTATACCGCCGATTGTAAGATGTAAGTATTGCCGAGCAGTTGATGCTTCAAGCATGGTTATGTTTAAGTAGCTTGAGGGGTAAGATTGAAGATGCTGTTGTGGTTTGGTAACGATGGTTAATGCCACCTTATGATTGTCGACTGTCTATTGACAAATTGAGGGACTGATCATCCTTAATCTCTTGTTGATAGTAGTCGGGAATTGTGTTGTTTGGGATAGACTTGTCTTGCCAACTTAATAGTGTGTGAAGCAGATGAGTTGGCACAAGGCAGTGCATGGTTACTTGAGTTGTGGGCGAATTTGGATTTTGGTGAGAAATAAGATTTTTGGCAAGCGAGCTTCTTGTTGTGATTCTTCCTAAACCTTTTGTGGAAATGTGAGTGAATTACCGCTGTAGTGCGAGGTGAAGTTTTGATGGATTTAGTTTCTGGAACTAGTTGGGATTCGAAGTATCCTTAAGGGATGTTTGTTTCTGAATTAGGGTTGAAGAGTCAACTTGAATATTGGTTTTAGTAGAGTTTGTTTGTTTGAGTGGTTCGCCGTGGAGTGCGCCGATTGTGTTGTTCGAGAAGAGCAAAGGTTACCCAAGTTGGTGTGTCGTTTGTAGTCAAGGAACGAAGCGGATGTTGAGGACGAGTGTCTGCTTCGGAGGTTTGATATTTAAGTGAAGCAATTATTTGGAGTTTATGTGTTTAGTGAGATCGTTTTGAAGTCTGGATGCCTATGGGTTAGTGTGAGGGTTGAAGATGTTCAGGCAATGCTTTTCAAGATAGTGTATGGTCCGGGCGAGTATAAGCTGATGTCATTAGTGTGACTAATGCGTCAGGTAAGATTTTGGAATGTTCCAACAGTACTCTCATGAGTAGCTGAAGAGTTGTTTCGTGTTCATGGATATTATTTGGTTTACATCAAGTTAAGGGATTGTGGCAAGCATCCGAGTGTTGCGTTATCAGTAGTGGAGTTAGATTGGTGCATGTTGAGTCCTCTAAAGAAGGAGTTTTGGAACTGTTGGACGTGAGTGTCTTAAGTAAGCAACTTAGACGACAATATTTTGGACAGTTCCGCGAAGATTTATTTTGTGTCTTGTCGAAGACTTTAAGGGGCTAATTCATAGTTTGGAATTTCTTTTGTTTTGGATGGTTAACTTTGTGAGTTTGATGGAAGATATTTTTATGAGTTGGTATTGATCGTGAGTATTTTGACCCGAAATGGTTGAGTCACTAATTGGACTTCGCAATGGGAAGCGAATTTGTTTTAGCCGGTGAAAAGTTTAGCGAATGCCTTGATTTTGGTTTTGTTTTGTACTGAAGAACCTGGTGCGACGTGTTGTGATATTTTGTTTTGGACGTAAGATGTATTTCGACATAGAGTTGGAAAAGTGTATTACTACCTTGGAACGATTTGATTTTTCTTATGGAAAATTATCGGATGCGGGAGTTAGAGTTTGATGCAGTTATGCTCATTGGAACCTTATAGGTACAGATGTTAACGACAAGGAGATTGGAATTGTTGAAGACAATTCAAGTTGAGTATGATCTATAAAGAGACTTCGTCTGTTGTTGAGTTTATTAAGTTGATATTGAGGATAACCCAAGAATATCTTATTTGAGATTTATTATTTTGAAAGAATGTTGCATGTTTGTTTTGAGACGCTTGTTGAGATTAAACTCAGAAGGTTATTAAGGATTCGTTCACTACTACCATATGGATTTCGCCGGATACTAATGGTCGCGGTGGATTATTAGATTACGACTAAAATAAGTCTTGACGGTAAGGAATTTGGTGATGGTTTGGTAACCACAGGTACTTAAAGATGATTGATGTTTTATAGAGGAAGATGTTCTATTTGTGACTGAAGTCGATCGCGATGGTGTTCATGTTGGATTCCATAGAAATTGATGTTATGGTTCTAAGTCCAAATTATGTTGTAATTTCAGGAGTATGAGACGAAATTGATGAGTAGAGTTCTTGAGAGAGTGTTTTGGTTTGGATTACCACTTTAGAATATTGAACGATATGAGAGATGTTCACTACAAGAAAAATGATAGATTGGGACGGTTATTTTGGCTGATTACGACGGTTAAAACCGTCGCAATTTACAATCTACGACGGTAGAAGTACCGTCGCAGAATCGTGCGTCCCCAGCCTATTTCGCGACGGTTGCAAAAACTGTCACGCACAACAGATAGCGACGGTTATATACCGTCGTGAATTTGACTTTATTTTTTGTTTTTGTTGTTATTTGCGACGGTTATTCTACCATCGTAGGTTAGAAATTGCGGCGGTTTTAACCGTCGTAATCTGATTTATAAATTTCAAATAATATTTTTATTTAAATTATTATTTAGTAAAATAATTTTAAATATAATATTATTTTACTATAATATTTTACTATTATATTTAAATTATTATTTACTTTAATATTTTTTTTTATAGTATTTTTATTTTATTTTCTAACACTTTTCAACATAATAAAGTTAATTACAATAAAAACATTTAATATCAAATAATCATCAATAATATCAAAAAAATGTGATCAAAGGTAAAAAGAAGTGCAAATTTTACCAATAAACAAGAAAAATTCAAATATCATCAAAGGCCAAATTTCATTTTAATATTTACATTGGTTTGCTACAACTTGAGAGAATTACAAAAAATGTTACAATATTCTACAAAATTCATGAAAGTCCTTTACCACATTTTGTATGTTTCTTCACACGCGCACCGCACAATACTACTCTTCTAGCTAACTCATCCATGATCACATTCTCTGCATCATTTCCTTTCAAAATTTTTTCTCTTGCAAGTAAAAGTGCTGTTTCATGTCTTTCATTCTTAATATCACATTTTGCTCCATGAGATATCAAAAGGCCACACATTTCTCCATTACTTTCTCTGGCAGCTAACATCAATGGTGTATATCCATTTTCATCAAAACCATTCACATCGTAATTCCCTTCCTTTAGTAGTTTTTCAACCATGTTTATATCTCCATAACAAGCTGCACGGTGAAGAGTATTCGCTTCGGCTAAAGTACTAATATTCAAACATCCCTTTTTAAGTGCATATTCAAACATCACCTTATGACCATCTTCACCATTTTGTTTCAAATCTATGATATCTAGAGCTGTTAAACCATCTTTGTTTTTAAGATTGGTTACATCAGCTCCAGCGTGAAGAAGCAACTTGAATGCCTCCACGCTACCCTCTGAAGCAGATATCATGACAGCTGAAAATCCACTCTCATTTTGCTCATCTAGATTTATGTTTCTGTTTTCAACGACTTTTTTCAAAGCCTCTATGTCATTCGCGTGAGTGACGAATAACAAAGATGAAAATCTAGACGCATTGCTAGACTTAACAACCTTTCTGGCTCTAATTATATCCAAAACTGCTTTCTGATATTCTTTAGTCCAATGAATAGAAGTTGCTGTTGAAGTTGCGCAATGACCAAACGAATTTACTATCCCCAAATCAGCTCCTGATGATACTAAAACTCTTAGACACTTCTCATGTTTATACCTTGTGCAAACCATCAACGCCGTGTCACCAAGTTTTGTTTGCGAGTCCAAGTTACAGTTACCATTAATCAAACATTGAAGAATGTTGCATAGTCCGAGGCGTGCAGCCATGTGAATAGGGTATAGATTGGTTTCTTCTTCAGTAGTTTGAAGGGCCAATTCTGTATCAACCCCATTATTCAGAAGTACATTCAACATTCAATGCTCTTTCATTGTTGCAAATGATGGTGTGGTGCAAGAGAGTTCTTCCCATGTGAAAACTATTAGGTGAGAGGTGATGGAGAAGCATGTTGAGTATCAGATTGCCAGGAATTACCCTATTTTCACTATCACCGGTAAAAGAAGCACCATCACAGTAACGAATTTTCACTCTATTCCAGTTAAAGAAATCTGCAATCATAAGGAGCAATATGAGCCAAACAGCTAAACAAATCCCTTTTAAGCATAATATAGTTCAGTTGCATGAAAAAAAAAACCTGGATTCTCTCGAGGATTATTGCTCATTATTCCCGTAAAAGGTATCGCCTTCTCCATGAAATTTGATGATCCACGCCGTGTAGTCTTGCGATAAACGCATGTTCTAACGTTATTACACCACGCACCTCCCTGCCACAGAATTTCACATAAATATTATCAAACAACACTTTTAAACTCTTGTATACAAGATCTCATCTCGGTATACAATATAAACATATTAAGGAAACATATAAGAAAGACTGTATCATAGAACAATATGAAACACCATGAGATACCTCTAAGTTAACAATCCAGCTGTTTGCTCCCGATCCGTATCCGCGGTCGAAATGATAAGCAGGCAATGTTCCATCCAAGCAGACTGCCAAAAACAAATATTCATCATACTCAGCCAAATCAAAAGCTATACAATTTTTCAGACACTGAGAAAATCTCAAACTCTATACAAATTTTCAAGGTAATCAACCCTTGAAGGCCAGTTTGTCACATGCACTATATAACATACAAACTTGAAAAGATATAAAATGTGGGGTAAATTATTGGAGTGAATAATAATTTTCATAAACAAAACTTCAAAAAAAGAAAAAAGGGTTAGAAGTGGATTGTACCAGCTCCTTTAGCAGCAGCAGATTGAATAAAGGTGATTCCCACCATGCGAGGCTGATTCACAAGGTTGGAAGAAAAAGAATAACCTTCATGAGCTTCTAAGATAGAGAGTTCAGTTTCATTGATGTGATATGCATCAACCAATTTGATGAAAACAAGTGCTATTACAATGCTAACCCAGAAAAGCTTCACCATTGTTCTTCTTTTCTGTGTTTTGTGAAAGAAACAAGACAACAAACAAAACACAAAGGTGCAAACTTTTTGGCTCATATTGCTCCTTATGATTGCAGATTTCTTTAACTGGAATAGAGTGAAAATTCGTTACTGTGATGGTGCTTCTTTTACCGGTGATAGTGAAAATAGGGTAAATCTTCAAAACTGAAATGTTTGCCAACTCTCACCTAATTATATCCAAAACTGCTTTCTGATATTCTTTAGTCCAATGAATAGAAGTTGCTGTTGAAGTTGCGCAATGACCAAACGAATTTACTATCCCCAAATCAGCTCCTGATGATACTAAAACTCTTAGACACTTCTCATGTTTATACCTTGTGCAAACCATCAACGCCGTGTCACCAAGTTTTGTTTGCGAGTCCAAGTTACAGTTACCATTAATCAAACATTGAAGAATGTTGCATAGTCCGAGGCGTGCAGCCATGTGAATAGGGTATAGATTGGTTTCTTCTTCAGTAGTTTGAAGGGCCAATTCTGTATCAACCCCATTATTCAGAAGTACATTCAACATTCAATGCTCTTTCATTGTTGCAAATGATGGTGTGGTGCAAGAGAGTTCTTCCCATGTGAAAACTATTAGGTGAGAGGTGATGGAGAAGCATGTTGAGTATCAGATTGCCAGGAATTACCCTATTTTCACTATCACCGGTAAAAGAAGCACCATCACAGTAACGAATTTTCACTCTATTCCAGTTAAAGAAATCTGCAATCATAAGGAGCAATATGAGCCAAACAGCTAAACAAATCCCTTTTAAGCATAATATAGTTCAGTTGCATGAAAAAAAAAACCTGGATTCTCTCGAGGATTATTGCTCATTATTCCCGTAAAAGGTATCGCCTTCTCCATGAAATTTGATGATCCACGCCGTGTAGTCTTGCGATAAACGCATGTTCTAACGTTATTACACCACGCACCTCCCTGCCACAGAATTTCACATAAATATTATCAAACAACACTTTTAAACTCTTGTATACAAGATCTCATCTCGGTATACAATATAAACATATTAAGGAAACATATAAGAAAGACTGTATCATAGAACAATATGAAACACCATGAGATACCTCTAAGTTAACAATCCAGCTGTTTGCTCCCGATCCGTATCCGCGGTCGAAATGATAAGCAGGCAATGTTCCATCCAAGCAGACTGCCAAAAACAAATATTCATCATACTCAGCCAAATCAAAAGCTATACAATTTTTCAGACACTGAGAAAATCTCAAACTCTATACAAATTTTCAAGGTAATCAACCCTTGAAGGCCAGTTTGTCACATGCACTATATAACATACAAACTTGAAAAGATATAAAATGTGGGGTAAATTATTGGAGTGAATAATAATTTTCATAAACAAAACTTCAAAAAAAGAAAAAAGGGTTAGAAGTGGATTGTACCAGCTCCTTTAGCAGCAGCAGATTGAATAAAGGTGATTCCCACCATGCGAGGCTGATTCACAAGGTTGGAAGAAAAAGAATAACCTTCATGAGCTTCTAAGATAGAGAGTTCAGTTTCATTGATGTGATATGCATCAACCAATTTGATGAAAACAAGTGCTATTACAATGCTAACCCAGAAAAGCTTCACCATTGTTCTTCTTTTCTGTGTTTTGTGAAAGAAACAAGACAACAAACAAAACACAAAGGTGCAAACTTTTTGGCTCATATTGCTCCTTATGATTGCAGATTTCTTTAACTGGAATAGAGTGAAAATTCGTTACTGTGATGGTGCTTCTTTTACCGGTGATAGTGAAAATAGGGTAAATCTTCAAAACTGAAATGTTTGCCAACTCTCACCTAATTATATCCAAAACTGCTTTCTGATATTCTTTAGTCCAATGAATAGAAGTTGCTGTTGAAGTTGCGCAATGACCAAACGAATTTACTATCCCCAAATCAGCTCCTGATGATACTAAAACTCTTAGACACTTCTCATGTTTATACCTTGTGCAAACCATCAACGCCGTGTCACCAAGTTTTGTTTGCGAGTCCAAGTTACAGTTACCATTAATCAAACATTGAAGAATGTTGCATAGTCCGAGGCGTGCAGCCATGTGAATAGGGTATAGATTGGTTTCTTCTTCAGTAGTTTGAAGGGCCAATTCTGTATCAACCCCATTATTCAGAAGTACATTCAATGCTCTTTCATTGTTGCAAATGATGGTGTGGTGCAAGAGAGTTCTTCCCATGTGAAAACTATTAGGTGAGAGGTGATGGAGAAGCATGTTGAGTATCAGATTGCCGGCACCTAATAGTGAAAATAAGATTGCCAGGAATTGGACGATACTTTGAAACGTCCTTACTCTTATCAGATGCAGCCGGCACCTTCTCATTGGCATTACTTGTTGCACTTTCACTCGCTTTAATAACTTTCTGGATCTGGTATTGCTGTTTCTTATCAATTGGACGAATCTGCAGCAAAAAACTGTATGTCAGAACATACATGCCTTTTCCACCTAACAGATAAATAAACCCTCTGTTACAAAAAGACACATTGTATTAAAACCAGAACATACATGCCTTTTCCACTTTAAGTTCACTTGATTTCTAATATTCAGAATGTAGCAGTTATGAACTAAAACAGATTATCCTGATTAAGTCATTTAATTTTATGTCAGAAACACCTTGCAAGATTGTAACACTAAAGCAACATAAAACAACTATTCCTATTCCCAGCCCTACAAGATATATAGAATTTGATAGCCACAAAAAATAGATTGTCTAGACTCAAGCATTTTAAGGAGACATGTCCTCTTTTTTTAAGAATAGATTGCCACAAAAAATAGATTGATCAACAATAATAAAGATTGAATCATAACTATGATTTGATATGATTGATGATTTGTGGATACAAAAAAACTGAAAACATAATAAGTACTAATGCTTGTACTAATATACGACTCCAAATCCAAAGTATATAAAGAAACAAATCATGTTAATAACTAAGAAGTATGGACACTAATATTAAATTATCTAATATACTCCAAGATTAAAAAAACCATATGAGATGATACTTCAAGATAATATCAAGATATTATGAAAAATATTTTAATCTTCTAGAACCATTATATGCAACTTAAAAAGAAGCCAACTGAATTGAACCCTACAAAGAAATATTTGTAGCACCAAATGAAAATTCAGTAATGCTAAAACAAAAACATTTAATATTTTTTTAACAGAAAAGTGAAACTAAGGATACCTCTCCAATGAATGTGATTGTGAATTTGCAAAGCAGTCAACTCATAAACAAAGAAAATCACACATAAAATAAACAAATAAAGAACAAAAAGGTAACAAAGCATAAAATGCACTGGCGGTCTAGCATAGGGAGATATTTAGAATGTCCCATTTATAAATAAAAACTCTATTAAAGGTTACCATGCTGCCACACATGTGTGAGGAATTCCAAAATTATAAATGAACATTCACAGTTACAAACTTGAACAAGGTAAAAGCAAATTTACCCATACCATATTTCTGGATGCTGTCAAAGAGCTTAAATATATCACTTTTCACCGTATTTACCTGACAATAAAGAGCTAATTTAATATACCGATAGAAATACAAGGAGGCCCAAGACAAGGTATGTTTCTATGATGTATGAATTGCAATAAAAAATGAAGTGCTAATAAATTTAGCATCAGATTTTTCAGCATTAATTTTTTCATCACTTAGCCCCTACTTGTATTCACTTTTATTTAACAATCCCAAGCAGGTGTTTTATTGGTTTAAAAATATTCTAATGAAAAAAACTTGACAAGAATCTTGCATACCATACTACTATAATGCAACTAATTAACTCATGAATTTGCTGACCACATATAGAATTTTCAACTAAACATCCTTTTAAGTTTAAAATACTGAAGCAAAACAACTAATCAATTTAAGACTCAGAACATTACCCTAGACTGGTCAATTTCAGAAGATGCTAATGAGATGACTCCCGCCAATGCTTCAAGTGCTAATCCTGTAAAATACATGAGTAGCCTAATTTGTAATTTATAGATAAACAGCATTAGTTCGAGGGGTTTTGTGTTGCCAGTTTAAGCGCAAAAACAAATTACATAGAGAGAACTTGAATCTCAACGTATTTCCATATAAATCATTACCAGCAGCATAGGTACTAGATTCTGGATTATCAGAACTGTAGCGCCATCTTCCATCACTTTGGCTCAAAGCCTGCCAATAGTGAAAAACATGCGATCACAATGAACATGAGAGTTTGAAGAGCAATTGAAGCAACAAAACGTTTATGTAAGTTATGAATTAAAACGAATAAAACTGGAAAGGGTGTAGTTCTTAATTCTTATGATGAAACTTCTATTGTCACATTCAATGGGACCAAAATGGTAGTTATTGCAGAGCAAACCAAGTCCCCACAATACTCAGAGAACGAAAACAGACCTTGATTGAAACTCAAAATCAACCAACCCTAAGATTCAAGTGAATCTCCAGTGCTAAGTCAATGTTAAAGAATGAGAGAGATATGTGAAGTGTTACAGAAAAGTGGTTATATGCGAGAATGAGAGAGATATGTGAAGTGTTACAGAATAAAGAAAAAGTGCTACACAAAACTTACAGGTTTGAAGACAAAGATGCTTGATGTAAAAACCTAAACTGTTAAAACCGTGCAATATCAAGCTTATAAATTACAGTTTCATTATCTGAATTTTCTTTCTACAGAGCAATTAAACCGATGTTCGCCCAAACCCTAAATTGAACAATTTCATTTAACCTAAATTGAATCGACGAAATAACAAGAATCGATGAAAATTAAACAGGGAGATTAAAGTGTGATCTGAAAAATGGAAGAAGATTAGGGTTTTAGGGAAAGACTAACCTTGGACTGTTGAGAGAGTTGAGGGACCTCTCTGAAGCGGCTTGGTTGACTCATACTCATAAAGAAAGGCTTGCTTATACGTCTTTCTAGCGTATGCGCGCTTCCGCATGTGATATTATCACTGCAAGCAGAAGTAGAGAAGTATATGTGATTGGGGAGGAGGATCAGGTACAAATGAAAGCCAGTGGTGATTCGTGACTATGAACAGCCGGAGAGGGCATCCATTTGTACCTGAACGGCACCGTGAGTAACAATTCTGTGACAAATCAATTTTGTGACAAACACTCCTACGGCATGAACGGCACCGTGAGTAAAAATTCATTGTTATAAATAAATTCACATTTAATCCATAAAATTTATAGGTTATTGAGTGATTATATTTTAGTTTTTTTTTTAATTATATAAATGATAACTTTAATATTTTTAGTTTTTTTTTAATTATATAAATGATAACTTTAATATTTTTAGTTTTTTTTTTAATTATATAAGTGTTGATTTTGATATTTTTAATCGCGGTTATTTCAATTTCAATTTTTTGAATCTCTTTTATTTTATAAGTAATTATTTTGACTTATTTTGAATATCACATTTTAATTATTTTGATGATAATTTTTCAAAGTTATAAGTATTTTATGCAATTTTAAGTATTACTATAATGTAATTCTAATTTTTGAAAATATATTTATGATAAATTAGTGAAATATTTGTGCGTTTGCACGGATACTGATACAGTATGCATAGTTTTATTAAAAAAATATATAATTTTTTAAAAACTTTATAATTGTTTTACCAAAAAAATTGATGTTTTATGTATTTTATGAGATTTTTAACTTTTTTACGGCGACGGGTGTTTTACCGTCGCGCCCATGAAAATTTTTAAAGGTTTTGGATGCGACGGTTGTTTTACCGTCGTGAAATGAATTTTAGGACGGATAATTTTACCGTCGTGAAAGGTTTAAGGGTGCGACGGGTGCTTTACCGTCGTGATATGCCTTTTAGGACGGTTAATTTTACCGTCGTGACTAGTTGTTGGTGAAAAATCAATGTTAAAAGTGTTAAATGGGGGCCGACGGTTGTTTTACCGTCGTAATAATAATATTATGATGGTTAAATATACCGTCGCAAAATAAATATTAGGGACGGTTGGTGTCAACTGTCGTAAACACTGTCTCTATATGTCAATTACGACAGTTATCACATAACTGTCGCAATTTTTGTGTCGTTAAACACTAATTTTCTTGTAGTGGTTTCGAATAAGAAACCAGTGTATTAATCTTGCGACGATGCGAGGATGGTGATTACTTAATTAAACTTTGGGAATTGAATTTTTATAAGGGAAGACTTCGTGGAAGTCAAGTGTATACATCGAAGTTTCACAAGTGAAATATTTGGACAGTATTTGAAGAGGTCAAACTATGTCGTGTATTTCAGAGGATCAACGGACGTTGATCAATCGAGAATGAAAGAGTGATTCTTCGAGTTGATGAAGCTGATGTTGCAAGGTGTCTTGATGGGTGTATGCTTTGAACGTATCCATTTTGGGTGATTGTGAAGTTGAGGATTAACCAAGTTGTTTTACGATTGGCATCTTATGCATAAAAGTGACGCAGCATGGTTTAGATATCGAGCATTGAGTTTTAGCGAGTATGCGGGATTGTTGGATTTGGGCTAGTGAGTTATAGTCGCAAGTCGTCAGTATACGTCCTAGGATGAGTGGTGTGTCGCAGTTCAGTTATGTTTGGGTAACTTGTTATTGTTCAAGGGTGGTACGTTGGTAATCTACAAGGACGATGTGACCTTGTGATTTTCTGGAATGAGAGCGATAACTGCAAGTGTAATTCTTGAGTTCGTACTTATGCGTGAATGATGGCATCTTTTCGTGTTTGTGTAGCACGCGTGGTTTTATCCTTTCTGATTGTTTCAGTTTTGGTTTGTATAACCATTTTGTTGTTTTTGTTTTAGCGATGGTGTCGGTGTTGCGTCGTAGGACTTTATGTTCCTACCTTTGGTGACTCGTTTCCGAGGCGTCGGTTCGAGTGTATGACTAATTCTATGGTTGAGACGTTAGGATGGTATCGATCTTGTTTGTTTAGTTCTCGAGCGAACCGGTGTGTCTGCGACTTGTTTAGTTGTTGGGTGTTAGTTGATTGTCGAGTGCATTGTATGGGCTTCGCATCTCGGCATGGTTGTTCTTGTCTAAACGTTATGGCTAGGGAGATGCCCTTGTGTTAGGTGTATTTTGTATGTTGTTTAATTAACGCAAGGATTGAGTGGACGAATGTGTAGACATGTCCCGATTTGTTCGTTTTGGTCAAAATTTTCGAGGCCGAAAATCTTTTAAGTGGGGGAGAGTTGTAACACCCCGTTTTTTGATTAAATGTTAATTCGGTTATTTGAAATAAAAATATTCATAATGATAAAATACTATTTTGAGTAATATTATTTTGGTGTGTATTTGGCTTCGTTTGATTTATCGGTATAATTTAGTTTTTATGGAATAAATATTAATTAAATGTAATATGGTTTTAATAGAATTATATGATATAATTTGAATTAAATAATTGTTGGGGCCAAATTATAATTTTAGAAAGATAGAGGGAGGAAAGTTAGTAGTAGAAGGATAGTTTTATAAAATAGAAAAGGAGAGTTAGTAAGAGTAGTTGGTAAGAAGAGAAAGAAGAAAGAAAAGAAGAGAGAAAGAGGAGAAGAGAAGAAAGGAAGCTAGGTTTGGAGTTGCAACATCTTCATCATCTTGTTTCAAGAAAACTCACACCAAGGTAAGGGGTTTGATTTTCTAATGCTTATAGCTAGGGTTTGATTTGGTATATTTTTGATTTGGGATAAAATTGATTTTTTAGGGTTTATGAGTTGTTGGGTGATTATTGGAATAAATTAAGGAGTTGATTTAGGTGTTATTGTTGTTGTTATTGAATTAGTGTTTTGTTTAAGAAAAAAATTAGAAAAGAAGAACTTGAATTATTTAAGTTTAAAAACATACTGTTAGGTTGAAAAGAAAAAGAAATGAATTATGCAGTAGCAGTATATCATTGTTTTTAAACTAGCCGTGTACCTTTTTCTAAGCTAGCACTCTATCTATTTTCTAAGCTAGCATTGTCTCTCTTTTTCTAAGCATAGCAATGTAGTTTAAAAAAAAGAAAAAGAAATATAGCAGTAGAATGAAGTTTCAATTTAGTAGCAGTAAACTAGCAATATGGAAATTGATTTAAGTTTGTAAACTATGCTAGTAGTATAGTGCTTAGACGAAGTTTAGAATGTATGCATAGTAGTCAATTGTTAAAAACTAAAGTAAAGTTATGCAGGAAATAACATAGTAGCAGTATGCAGTATAGAATCAAACATGATAGCAGTACAAGTAAATGAAATGAAGTTCTAGAAATCAAACTATAGTTATTAAGTTTAGTTTATAAACAAAAAAAAATGCAGTATGAAAGATAAGTTTAGGAAAATAAATAAATTAATTTATATTTTGTTTTTATTTTCTTAATTTAATATATAAAATATTTATATTAATTAAATACAAATATGACATAAGTTAGTCGATTTAATTTGGAACCCGATTATGTTCTGATTTCTCGATTTCGGCAATTTCGGCGACGGAGCAAGTTACTCCGAATTTAACGAGAATTGACGTGCTAGCATAATCCGACGTGTAGATTAACGTAGTGAAGTTCGTTTTGCGAAATTTCGACTTTTTAAGAATCGACCCGATTTTAGTACGAATGAAATAAGTTGAGTTTAATCCCGAATTTAACCGTTCGAGTTACATTCCGGTGACTCGATCGCGATGAGAAACATTGAGAGTAATGCAGGTTCATTGATAATGACTTTATGTTGAAATATACTTTCCGATTTGGAATTGTTGATAGTTGATGGTTTATGTTTTGGTTGAGTAAGTAACTTGTTTGTATACATTTTACTTGACGTTGAGATTGTTAAATTATATGTATGCATGCATGTACAATAGTTGATGTTCCATTGGTTGGATTTGATGGTATGTGTATGTTACGATTATTGTGAATCTTAATTGCATGAATTGGTTATATTGTACATTGCATGGCATGGTTGGTCTTGAAACAGAGACGGTGAAACTGTGGGTTCACATGATTTTATAGACGGTGACCCTATTATGGGAAAAGACGTAGTGACCTTGATTCGGAAGGGAAATATAGGTGGTGGAACATTGGGTCCACAATATCTAGACGATGACCCTATTGTGGGAAAAGACGTAGTGACCTTGATCCGGAAGGGAAACATAGGTGGTGGAACCTTGGGTCCAAGAGTCGGTACCGCATTCGCATATGTTGAGTCGTGTTGTGAGTCACATGTATATTTGTGCATGTTATGTATGTGTGTTGATGTGTTTGATTATGTGCCAATATTGTTGTTGTTTGAATTATGGTTATGTGCCAAGGATGTGAGTATTCGGATAATCGGTTTACATGGTTAATGTGTTGGAAATGGATTCCTTGAGTAAGGATACTACAAGTGATAAAATGAACATGATCATTATGTATTGCTTTATTTATTGCCATTTCATTTACTTAAAATTACATGTTATATGATTATTGGAATTCTCACCCTTTTGTTGGCCAATGCTTTTGATGGCATTGTGTAGGTACCGAGGACGGTAGCGCGAGGTGCTAGCTAACGGATGCATTAGATTGCAATCTGTTTTATTTTGATTAGAGTCGAGTCGATGCTCTGGTAGTAACACATGGGGGGGGGGGGATTTATTTAGTGTCGAACTCGATTATTTTGTATTTGGATTATGATGTATATAATCCTTATTCGTGTATATGATGTTTTGTATATGTGAGACTTGATAACATATGCTTATGTGAATTATGATGGCTTGATGCCTTGAATTATGTTTTGATTCCTCCATAAATGGAGATGATGTGAAATTATGAAACTCCGTTGCGTTTGCACGAGAGAATGAAGTAAATATTTATTGTATGTTTGTTTTGTGTTGGAATGCTTATACTTTCAAACATACCCTGTCCGTTTTTCCTTAAAGACTTTGGAATGTGATG